CGGACCCTGAGATCATGACCTGAGCCGAAGTCGGACACTTAACCGACTGAGCCACCCAGGCGCCCCTGTGCTTTATGTGCTTTAAAGGCATACTAGTGATCACTAGTGTAGCTAAGTCTTCCCATCTATCCCTTCTGCTAAAGAAAAAATAAGTTGTGGTGGCTGGGGGACTTAAAGTGATATCCACGTCAAGGAAATCTGGCAAAGCCCCCTGCGGAAAGCATGAAGCCTGCAGCTCGTGACCGTGAAGGCCAGGGCTTTGCCCATCCGTCCTGCATCCCGAGCCGGCCTCTGTGATGGGAAGAAAAGCAACTGATGATACTGTGGACAGAATATTCATGAGTCCAACGCGGAGGTTTTGTCAGGGGTGGGGCACGAGCCCAGGTCCGCCCGCGGTGCCCATTCCCTCCTTCACATACGCTCCCCAGGCGTGCCGACTTCCAGAGAGTAAGGACGTTTCCTGGGAGACGGGAGAGATTTGGTGGCAGCTGAAGCCGCTGCAGGGAATGAATTTACCCAGGGAACTGGGAAAGGGCCAGCAGTTTCCGCTCCAGGAACAGCTAGCTCCCGGGAAGTCTTGACCTCTTTCCTAGCTTCGCGAGCTATTGGAACGCTAGTCCCAGGTGGCCGAACAGCAGGCTACTCCGCTAGTGGGTCATAGGGGGGAGTGAGCCGAGCTGGGCCAGCTGACAGCCCCCTCCCCGCCCCTTCCGCTTCCGTCGGGCTCCTCCCTCCTTCTGGTGGTGCTAGGGCTTCGCCGCCGGCGGCCGGAAGCCACGCGGCTCTTACGCCCTATGGCCGCCGCGGGGTCCGCGAAGGTGGCGTTGCGGGTGGCGGAAGTGCTGGAGACCATCGTGAGCTGCTGCGTGGGACCCGAGGGGCGGCAAGTTCTGTGTACGAAGCCCACCGGCGAGGTGCTGATCAGTCGGGATGGAGGCTGCCTTCTGGAGGCGCTACACTTAGAACATCCCATAGCCAGGTACCCGTGTCCCGCGTTCCAGCTCGTTATAGTGTCCCTTAGCCAGGTACTGTTGTCCCATTCTCCTGCCCAGAGCCGGGCACCAAAGGCTATCTCCTGACCCTTCCTTAGAATGTACTATTGGGAAGACTGACCTCGGGTGAGACTATTGTATGCTCAGGGTTCGAGCGGTGTGCAATGGAATGTTCTTGGGGACGTCAAATCTTACCAAACTTCCAAGAACATTGATTCCCCCTCCTCCCTGCTCCACCTAACCCCAGAATCTTGAAATAGAACAAAGTAACTTGAAAAAAAGGAAAAAGTAATACTAAAGACATCAAAAGGACAGTATTATTTTATGCCTTTACCTGTGAAGCCATGGTTTCGACTTGATTTATTTGTAAGAAGGCAGCCCGCTGAAATTCTGAGTTGCTTTATTTCTTTTTTTGTACAGGATGTTGGTAGCCTGTGTTTCCAGTCATCTAAGAAAAACAGGAGATGGTGCTAAAACATTTATTATCTTTCTTTGTCACTTACTCAGAGGACTTCATGCAGTAACAGACAAAGAACAGGATTCTTTGATTTCCAAAAATATTCAAACCCATAGAAGGCATTGGAAAAATTGTTGTCAGTGGAAATTTATTTCTCAGGCTCTTCTGAAGTTTCAGACACAAGTATTAGATTATATTATGGGCCACTACTTAAGCAAACACTTTTTGTCCATCTTTTCTTCATCCACTAAAGAGAGAACATTGTGTAGAAGCTCTTTAGAGTTGCTCTTAGAAGCATACTTTTGTGGAAGAGTGGGAAGAAATAATCAAAAATTTATTTCACAATTGATGTGTGACTACTTTTTCAAGTGTATGGCTTGTGAAAGTGGATGTGAAGAAGTATTTGAGTTAGTGGATGACTATTTTATAGAGTTGAACGTCGGTGTCACTGGCCTTCCTGTCTCAGATTCCAGGATCATAGCTGGGCTTGTGCTTCATAGAGACTTTTCTGTATACTGTCCAGCAGATGGTGACATAAGAATAGTGATAGTAACAGAGACTATTCAGCCCCCTTTTTCAACTTCTGGATCAGAGTTTATTTTAAATTCAGAAGCACAGTTTCGGACATCTCAGTTTTGGATTATGGAAAGGACAAAAGCAATCATGAAACATTTACAGAGTCAGAATGTAAAATTGCTGCTGTCTAGTGTGAAACAACCAGATTTAGTTATTTATTATGCAGGACTGAATGGCATATCTGTCGTGGAGTGTTTATCCTCTGAAGAAGTATCTCTTATCCAGAGGGTTGTTGGTCTTTCTCCCTTTGTATTGCCACATACCTCTTCGCGGTATGAAACCTGTAACACTGCTTTGATGAATTTTTGTAAGCCCCTTATCCTTAGATCCAAAAGGTATGTTCATCTTGGCTTGATTGGCACATGTTCGTTTATACCACACTGTATAGTACTTTGTGCACCAGTGCAGGGTCTTGTGGAACAGCATAAAAGTGCTTTACATGGAGCATTTAAAATGCTTCGGCAGTTATTTAAAGACCTTGATCTAAATTACATGATACAAGCCAGTGATCAAAATTATGCATCAAGTCCTCTTACCTACAAGAATAGCAGAGAAAGTATGCCATTGCCAGAAATTGTTAATGGCTCAATGCAAAGCCCATATCAGGGCACAGTTGTAGAGAACAAAGGTAAGCTGGCAACAACTCAAACATATTTAAAAGTATATTCAAATTTTGTGGTTCCAAGTGTAGAATTAGAAACACATATTCCACGTTCAATACCAAAAGTGACACCAACAGATACATACCAGACAGATGAAACATTGAGATATTTATCTCTAGCCAGGATAGTTGATGACAGTGAACCATTTATGGAGAGTAATTCTGCTAATTCAACAACAGAAAACACTAGAATAGAAATTTCTTGTGAAAATTTACAAGTCACAGAAATTGCTGGAAGGGGAAGCATGTTAGCAGTGAGAGAGAAGTCACTGGAGATGTGTACATCCCGCGGTTACTGCTTCTCATCTATACCAGCAGGTTGTGTTTTGCCAGTGGGTGGTAATTTTGAGTTTTTGTTACATTACTATCTTCTTAACTACGCCAAAAAATGTCGCCAATCAGAAGAAACTATGGTTAGCGTGATAATAGCTAATGCTCTTTTAGGCATTCCCCAAATCCTGTATAAGTCTAAGAAGGGAAACTGTAGCTTTCCACAAATATATGTAAGAACTCTCCATGCGATACAAACCCATCAACCCATGGTAAGCAGTCAGACAGGTTTGGAATCGGTAGCTAGTAAATACCAATTACTAACTTCCGTTCTTCAATGTTTAACAAAAATTTTAACCATTGATTTGGTAATCAATATTAAGAGACAACCTCAGGAAGTTTATGATCAAGATTCAGAAGAGGAAGTATAAAATTGGAAGTTTTTTTATTAACCAAAATTTTAACCCAACTCAAGCCATAAAGTAAAAAATGTGACCACTGATTCTCAAATCAATTTGGTCTAGTTAGGAAAACATCAAAACTTAAAAAAAATCTTTAGAAGAACTACAGTAAGAGGCTAGCAGACATTCAGACCAAATATTAGACAACATTCTGGAACTGTTCTGAGGAGGAAGGCTTCCACATGAGGGAAGCCAAGATATGACTGTGTGTCTTTCTTCCCCTTAAATTTCCCTGTGTCTCAGCTCTGTGTTAGTCCGTGTATATGCGAGAGGGTGTTCCTTTATAGTCCTTCTTACTTTTCTGTACATTTTTTCACTCTCTTCATCTGTCCTCCTTGCCTTTCTGTATTTATTTAGTTCATAGGATTATTTAATCTGAGATTTGGATAAGGTCTTCAAATGTCATCCTATTCTAATTGTTTATAATATTAAACATTATTTGCTTCATTTAAAATAATGTATTTTCTCTATTCCTAATTTCTAAAAAGCAATGAATAAAAAGTCTTGATTTCTTTTCTCAAGAAGCATATAAACTAAATTAGTTTTTACTTTTATATATCCCCTTATTTATTTCTGTTTTATGTGGAAAAGCCTGGATATATTTTTTTCACTGTCCATACACCACTGAATATGTAACTAGAAATATGACTTTGTGCATTGCAAACTTACTTTCATTTCTGTAGTTAAAGGTTAATTTCAGAAAGCTTATGAAATTCATACTGTATTTTCTCCTGTTCTCTAAGAGCTTGTAAAAATAATTCACGTATTTGCTGGTTTTTCTTATATTTGGTGCATAGCCAGAGTTCATTTGTAATAAAGAATTTGAAAATTATTTCTTTCTAATGTGAATTTCATATATTTATATTTTATTATAAAGGTTTATAAGTGCAAATGATGTGCATCTAGCCGTAGATAAGGACAGTGTCCTCTACTTTTAATAGTTCTCTGTAACACCCAAAACACCACTATGTTTATACCAAGTATTCAGAAGTGCCTGTTGAATAAAACTGTTACCTTAATCCATTCTCCTAAGTACATGTTTCCAACTTATGAAGTCAACAAATTCTTTTTTTTTTTTTTAATGTTTTTATTTATTTTCAAGAGACAGAGAGAAACAGAGCACAAGTGGGGAAGGGGCAGAGAGAGAGGGAGACAGAATCTGAAGCAGGCTCCAGGCTCCGAGCTATCAGCACAGAGCCAGATGCGAGGCTTGAACTCAGGAACCACAAGATCATGACCTGAGCTGAAGTTGGTCACTTAGCCCACTGAGCCACGCAGGCACCTCACAAAGTCAACAAATTCTTAATGAGTGCTTTTCATGTGCCAAATGCTGACTCCACTGTGGTAAACTGTAGTTCCTGCCTCCATACCCCTTTCCTGAAAAGGTAATGACACTATGTTGGATTGATATTGAATTTAGGAAACCTGATTTAAAAATTTTAATTACAGTAAAACTTGAAAAAGCGATGACTAAGAACATATTAAACTAACATCTTGCAGTATCTCATGATCTTTTAAATTAACTGTAATTTCATTTTTTTAAGGTTTATGCCATATGATAGCATTATTTCATTTCTGAGATGGAGAGAGTAAATTAATTCTGTTTCTTGTACTGAATTTATAGATGTATGAACCTACTGTAATATTGCTATACAATTTTTTCCATTCACTTTTTAAATTGCCTGTTAGATCATTAGATAGTTTTACTTTATTTTATTGTTGCTATTTTAAATACACCGTCATTGAAGGCATTCAAAGGCTTTTCTAGCCGTGCCCAGACATATGTCCTTGCCCAGACATATGTCCTTGCATATGGTAGGCATTTTATAGCTATAAATAATCAGGAGTCCAGAAGCCCCTTTGTAAGCTGGGCCTGGGTCTTTGTATGTTTGGCACCTGGTCTAATATCTGGCACACAATAGTAGCCAATAAATGTCTGTTGAAGAACTATTTGTTGACTGAATCAGTCACTTGATCCTCATAGATGAGGTCATAATTATTTCTGTCAAAGATTCATGGGAAAGAATCTGTTTTGGGGGAGAAAGAGCAGAAAATGTAGAACAGGTCTACACGAAGCAATCTTTTTTCTTTTAAATCTCTTCTAATCTCTTTAAAGAAATATCCCTCAAAAATGGTGATAGAGCTTTCATGGGTTATCTTTATCGTTTAACAGAATAACACCAGGGAGTTTACATCACTGGGTTAGACAGGAGAGCACTTTTAAAAATGTAGTTACATTGTATTTAAACCCTCTTCCACAAAGAATTTGAGATGGCCTGCCTGCAACAAGAGCAGACAAAATTACTGTAAAATCTGAATATAAATTAAAGAATCAAGACCAAAGAAAATATAAAAGATGAAGTCAAGCCCATGTTCCTATTTTCTGTTGCTGCATAGTGAATAACTTAAAACTAACTAGATTTGAACTACTATATTATTGCATCCCATGGTTGTGGGGGTTACCCAACCTTAGCTGGACAGCTTCCACTGTATTCTGTTGGTTCAGGCAATCACAAAGTTCAGCTGAAGTTCAAGGAGAGGGAACACAGGCCCCACCACTCAATGGCAAGAGTGTCAATGTCACATTATTAGAAGATCATGTGGGATGAGATATGTTGAGGCAGCTATCTTTGGAAAATACAATCTGCCACACCATGGAAGGGAGAAAAGGACAAATACGTGCTAACTTCTCAACTGGGATTTTTATTATTGTGTCCTGAAGTTACATGACCCCTTCCCACAAATGCATTTCCCTGATAACTTTTGTGAACCTCCTGATTTTTTTCCACTGGGCCAGCACAAGCTATTTTTATCCCCTAAACAATAGGCATTAGATTGTTGAATAGCCCTAACTCTTTGAAGCCAGGGGAGCTATTTAATCACTTTACACTGGAAGTGGAGTGGCATGGTGTCCATGTGTCACGCTAGGGGAGGGAAGAGGAATGCAACTGCAGCCTGAACTTTCATCAGATACTACTTACCCCCTCTCAAAAGGAATAGAATATGTCTTTCCCATCATCACAGCGCAGCAGAGAAAACAAAAACTACAGCTCAGGAGCCATCTATCTGTCTGTCTATCATGTTATAGTTATTCCTTGCAGCTTTGTAAGAAAGAGATTGGTGACAATCTAAACTCTAAGTGGATACACAAACTAAAAGGGGTAGGGGCAGTAATTTGGGGGGGGACATGCATAGGGAAGAGGTAGAAAGGTAATTTCTCAGTATGCCACTATGTGCTGGTTATTACAAATTTTGTTTTCCCAGCCAGCCTCTTCTCTGAAGCCTCGGCTCACTCACTGAACTGCCAACCTAGTCTCTACTTGGAGACTCACCCTTAACTTGTCCAAAACAGGATTGCTATTTCCCACCCCCTAAACCTGGTTCTCTCCCTGCTGTCCTGTCGTAAGTTAATGGTATCCACCACCTGTCCACAATGCTCAGGACAAAACCTGAAGAGACAACTTGACTCTAAACTTCACATCCCACAGCCAGTCTATCAGCAAATCCTCTGGTTCCACATATAAAATAGATTTCAGATCCTCACAATTGTTGGTGCGGCCCAAATCACCTCATCTCTGACCTGCAGCAGCCTCCTACAGCCTTTGTTTCTGTCTCATCTTGTACTTCTCTTGAGTTATTTCCCCCCAATTTTTTTATTTAAAATTTTTTATTTATTTTTAAAACTCTGTTTAATGTTTATTTATTTTTGAGAGACAGAGAGAGACAAGAGCACAAGTAGGGAAGCAGAGAGAGAGGGAGACAGAATCTGAAGCAGGCTGCAGGACAGAGCCTGATGCAAGGCTCGAACTCATGAACCACAAGATCATGACCTGAGCCGAAGTTGGCACTTAACCGACTGAGCCACCCAGGCGCCCTGATTTAAAAATTTTTAAATCCACAAAAATGTTGAAAAAACCATACAATGAACACCTACATACCCTTCATCTAGATTTTCCAACTGCCATTTTACCCCTTTGTCCATGTGCACATGCACATACATGCAAACACACGTTTTACTAAACCATACTGAACATACTGAAGGTAAGTTGAGGACATTATACTCTATCCCTAAATACCTCACTATGTATTTCCCATGAATAAGGACTTCCCCTACATGACTGCATGATTCTTTTTTTTTTTTTTTTTTTTTTTTTTTTTTTTTTTTTTTTTTTTTTTTTTTTTTGAGGTAGGAAGGGGCAGATGGAGAGGGAGAGAATCCCAAGCAGGCCCCACCCTCAGCACACAGCCCAACGTGGGGCTTGATCCCATGACTGTGAGATCATGACCTGAGCTGAAATCAAGAGTCAGATGCTTAACTGACTGAGCCACCCAGACGCTCCCAATGATTCTTTTAAAATGCAAGTCGTTATGTCATTCTCCAGCTTGAAGCTCTCCAAAGAGTTTTCTTTCATGCAGAATGAAATCCAAATGTATCATAATCTACAAGGCTCCACATGATCTGCCCACCGCTTATCCTTTAGATGACATCTCCTACCTCTCTCCCTCTAGCTTTCTTCCATCAGTTACGCTGACTATATCAACTAGGACAGGTTATGCTATACTGAGGCAAAAACTCCAAATCTCAGAGGCTTGGCACAATACAATTTGTTTCTTGCTCACATTTATGTCTATTAGGGGTCAGCTGGGAACTTTGCCCCCATTGTTTTCTTCCTCATTCTTAGATTCTGGTTGATGGAGCAGTCACTGTCTGAAGTATTTCCAATCATCATGCCAGAAAGAGAAAAAAGAGTTGTAGACAGCCTTGCATTCACCCTGTCCATTAAATGGCACATGTCATTTCTGCTCATGATTTGCTGTCTAAAATAAGTCATATGGTCCTACCTATGCACAGAAGAACTAGCTAATGCAATCTTACCTTGTACCTAGAAGGAGAGAGAACCAGCACATTTGGCAAATAGCACTAATGGGTACCCAAACTGGCCTTTCTGTTCTTTGAACATACAAATTCA